AACAGTTTGAGTTCACCCCTGAAGGCACACTCTTCTATTGAGACAGATGGATGCCAACAACCACATCAGCACTATAGCAATATCTCAACAGTCTTTATTATTTGAATGCAATACTTTTTGCAGAAATGATGCTCGTTTCCTTAAGTAGAAAGAAAGATTTGCTGCTAACCTACAAAAACGTAAGTTGATTTCATTATTACCCATACATGATTTTCTTTCTTTTTGTACTCTGTTACAGACAGAAGGCTTTTTTTGCAGGGGGCGGGGAGGGGACACTGGACAGTAAGTCCACAAAGCTCTTGCATATGTCTTCAATTGAAGGAAATGTTGCCTGCCAAACTTAAACCAAGTTGATCATAGGTTTGTTTGGTGTGTTGTTGTTTTTTTAAAAAAAACCCCAACCTTAACACTACCACCAAGAATATTCTAAAAGCAAGTGAAGGAATCCAGTTGCTATGGAAGCAAATTAAACAAATAAATGAGCTACCATGAAATGCTAATATATAAATACATATTGTGGTCTGATTAAGTCATATTTGCCACATTTGTTAATTGTAAATAGGCAGGTTTTAGCTTACTAAGCAGGATTCAATGTGCAATGGAGAACATTACTTTTTTTAGTAAAAAAAACTTTGTAAATTGATCTGAATGCTTACCAAGGAAGGAATCTGAAGGTAACGCTATGCTATTTGCTACATGTGCAAAGGGTAGTTGACAAGGAACTGGTGTGCTAAAGGAGGATAAGGAAACTGCATAGAAGCCTAATGATTTATTTGCATCTGTCTTCACAGTGGAGGATGTAGGGTACATCCCTGTGCCTTAACTATTTCAGGAAAGGAGTCTGAGGAACTAAGAAAATAGTGGTAACAAGAGTCTAACTCTTTTGCCTTACTGACAAATGGGCAAACCACCAGGTTCAAATGGCATCCATCTAAGAGTCATCAAAGAACTCAAATTTGAAATTGTTGATCTTCTACCCAAAATATGTAACTTGTCCCTAAGATCAGTAGCCATCAGAGGACTGGAAAGTGGCCAATGTAACACCAGTTTGTTTGTTTTTAAATAAAAGGGATCCAGGAAATTATAGGTAGGTTAGCTTAACATCTGTTCTGGGAAAACTGATGGAAAGCATTAGTAAAGATAGAATTTAAAAGCATTTAGAAAAACAAGTCTTGGTGAAGTAGAGGCAGCATGGGTTCTGCAGACATACGTATGATCTATCTAACCTCTTAGAGGTATCAACAGGTATCTATGCAAACTGGGTAAATGGGAAATACAACTCAATGTAAGTAAGTGTGAAGTAATATACACTCATCTCTTCTTGACCACTTCAATACGGACCTTCAAAAGTGCACTGCTGTATATAAGCTATGATAAGCCAGAATGTAAAAAGGGTAATTTAATCAGAAATGGCCACATTGCTATTATTATTATTTTAATTAAATTTGTATACTGTCCTTCATCTGTAGATCTCAGGCAGTTCACAGCATAAAAATACAAGATAAAAGCACATTATCATTTAACCCCTATATACTGTGTGTCTTTATATATATGCATATCTATCTCTCTGTTTTTCTTAAAGAAATCAGCCCTGAGTGCTCACTGGAAGGACAGATCCTGAAGCTGAGGCTCCAATACTTTGGCCACCTCATGAGAAGAGAAGACTCCCTGGAAAAGACCCTGATGTTGTGAAAGATGGAGGGCACAAGGAGAAGGGGACGACAGAGGACGAGATGGTTGGATAGTGTTCTCGAAGCTACCAGCATGAGTTTGACCAAACTGCGGGAGGCAGTGGAAGACAGAAGTGCCTGGCATGCTCTGGTCCATGGGGTCACGAAGAGTCGGACACGACTAAACAACTAAACAACAACAACATCTCTCTGTGTATACAGAGTGTTATTTATCTACCTTTTCTATATCACTGTTACTATTTCCCCTTAATATGCAGTATCAGAAAATTAAAGCAGAAATTTTAGTACAACTGTGGCAGATTCTTACTTCGCACATGTCATTTAACTGTCAAAGTCCCAGATATAATATCCTGTGTTGGAAACTGCCCTGCGATTACTATGTTTGTTTGTTTGTTTAATTTATAGCTCAAACAACATAGCAACATGCTGTGGTGGGTGGGGCTGGGGAATCTACAAAATGAATTCCATTAATTCTGATCACATGTTCTGAAGATAAAATTTATTTAAAATTAGTTGGTTTTTCAAACACAGGGACAAATATGACCAAGAACCTGATTCTGTGCTAGATGCTTTGGAAGCTGATCCAGTAGCCTATGCCAAAGCAGCAAGAGCAATATGTACATATACTTTTAACTATGGGATTTTAGAAACAAACTTGTGGAGCTGCAGGTGGTGATGGGGTTTGGTGGTAAGGTTACATCCTGAAAATGGGTTATGTTGAAATCGGCTGGATTTGTTTCTAAGTAAACTGTTTAGGACCAGCACATAAGCTTGAAAGCTTCTTGGAGCTCAGCCAACACAGCACTCTAAACCTGCATTTGTTTTAAATTAACCAAGAAATTCACGTATTTTAAAAGGACAAATATTCAGAAAACCATTAAGGAAACTCGGCCTGTTCCTCCCAGCCATTTTGTTCTTTAATACTATCACCCTCCTTAGCTCTTTCCTTGAAAACATTCCTCTGTTTTTGATCTGTAATTAAAGCAAGGATAACAAATAACTGATGAATTGCAAATAAGCATGAAGATGGCAGAATTATACAAACCAAGGACTTGAGTTTCAAGGTTAATGGATGGGTGGATGGTATGTCAACAGTTGAGCCACATGAGTATAAACAGTAAAGATGACTGTTGGGTTCATGCCCCTCAGGCCAGAAAGTTGCATTGAAGGCAGAGAGAGGAAAATTTTCAGTGGCATCCATGGCATAAATCCTATTCAATTGGTAGAATTACTGTAACATAGTAGCCAAGGCACTCAGCTGCAAGTTAGGAAGCCCTCGATGCTAACCCCCTAGTTTCCCATGACTGCCAGTTACCGAGAGGAAAAGGGAGTTCAGTGTGGTGAGGATGCAGTGGCAAAGCCAATCTGCCTACCCCATGCCACCAACCACTACTGCTAACTCCACTTACTGGCAGTAAGACCCATTGAATTTGACAGGACTTACTTCTGAAAAGACTTGGTTAGGGCTTGTACTATAAGTAGTCGTAGGGAAGATACTATCTCGTAGCTTTGGTTGCTTATCTGTAATGTACTTAATGCTGTTCTTCTTTACAGAGTTGTTGTAAGGTTAAGGTAAATCTGTCACTAGTGACAGTAGAAATTAAATCCTCAAGCTATCGCACTCATTTTTGAATGATTCCTAAAAATGGTTTATTGTGAACTACCTGAACCTATTAAGGTCAGTCCCTAAAGTGCTCAGAACAATCACCCTAGCTGTTATTGAACACAGCAAGTCAGCTAATTTACAGGTAACATTATTCCCTTATTTTTCATCTGTGTTTTTACCTCAAAAGCTTATGCCAAAATGATGGCTCTGTTCCTCTGTAAAGTGTTAATATGGCCCCATGCTAAAAATAAGAGATTTCTCTCTATTACAAAGAAAAGAAAAGAAAAAAAGCCTTCATCATCTCATCCCAGATGTGATACTATGATAGACAAAGCATCAGACTGAATTAGAATTATCAATGAAGATAATGAGATAGCTAACGCATCAGAAGCCATTAGGCAGTGAAGTGGTGAAAACCCCCAACAGCCAAATGTTTCTATAGTCATAGGAACACTTGGATAAACAGAAACTGACAGGACCTAACCATTTGTTTTTTAAAAGGGCTTTTAATGAGGCCTGCTGCAATGTTAGGAGTTGGAAATAAAACAACATGCCAACCTACACTTCAAGAAGTGTGTACGAACGATGTGATGTGACATCAAGTGTGCCAGGCACATTAGTGCCCCTCCCCAATTCTTTTTTAATTGAGACAATTTTTTCCTCCTTTCCCTTTGGCTGCTTTTTTGTGGAGGGTATACTGCTTTGTTTGCCTGTGTTTTATGTGGAGGGAGCATGTAGATATGTTTTTCCAGTTTTGGGAGGTTGGGGTGGAGCTTATGAGCATCACCAGTTTTCCGTCAGAAAACTGGGTATTTTGCAGTGTCTGTGATTTCCAGTTGTGTTCCCAAGGTCCAAAGGGTTGGGGACCCCAATCTAGAGCATTTCGGGTGGGAGAGGTCAGTAAAAGGTGATTTTCCCATCCCCATCTCCCACTGGCAGCCCCCAATCCCTCCAAAACACCTCTTCCGTTGGTTGGGACATCTTCCTGCATGAGATGGGCTGTGGGGAAAGAGGTAATCACTGAAAACTAGGAGCGCTTTTTGGGTGACTCAGGGGGCCACCAGGGAGAGACTGTCAGGGGTGGGCACTTCTCTGTACAGAAGTATTTGTTTGTATGAAAGCATAACACAGCAAAAGCCGTATTTTAAATTTTATCTACCATGTGTTCTAATATTCTTTGACTACAGACATCTAGAAGATAGCACCTGTTCCTCAGAATATAGCGCAATAGTGTTGAAAAATACCCTGGGTCACACACTTAGCCCTGCACATGAAGTCACACTTCTCCTCCTGTCCCCACAATTGCAGTTATTAATTTCAGCAAAATGGGCGTCTTCTCCATGTGTGTAAGCTTCCTGTGCATTTTATAGAAAGGGGCAGGGTAAACATGCAGCTTAGAGCCAACTCTCAACATACGGTACTTATCTTCTACATGAACACCACTCAAATATTTGGTAAAAAAGATACCTTATTAATATTGTGTCATATACACAGCACAAGAACTTGTACAGTTAAGTTTAAATTAGATGAGGGTTGATCCTCCAGCTGTTAAAGAAAACCTTTTCTTTCTTTCTTTTTTAAAAAATCATCTCTATAAACATCTTTGAGTATTTTTCATCATGCACATATGATCTCAACAATGAAATAAACCAATTAACAATGTTCTTTAAAAGCAAGGAAAGTGTTCTGGTCATTCTACTCACCATTCCATGATTCAGCCACGGCGGTATAAAATTATCAAGGAGCTTTGGGTAAACTAGTTCTCTGTCATAGATGTAGATGCTCCAAAACATTGTTACGACAAACTGGAGCAAGGAGGGAAACAGAAAGAAAGAAAGAAAATGTTTGTTCTTTGTTAAAGAAAGGCAAAGTACTGTATTAACATTTAACACTTCCTTTTAATGGTGTAAAAATAAATACTGCTGTTGTTCTTTTAATTTATTTAAATGCACAGTATATATCTGGCATAGCCCAATGCTGTGTCATTGGGGATAATCTGCTGCCTATTCTCCAGATAGCAGCAGTGGCGTAGCGTGGGTTGTCAGCACCCGGGGCAAGGCAAGTAATTTGCGCCCCCTAACCCGTGGATTAAGGGACGCGGGTGGCGCTGTGGGTAAAAGCCTCAGTGCCTAGGGCTTGCCGATCGAAAGGTCGGCGGTTCGAATCCCCGTGGCGGGGTGCGCTCCCGTTGCTCGGTCCCAGCGCCTGCCAACCTAGCAGTTCGAAAGCACCCTCGGGTGCAAGTAGATAAATAGGGACCGCTTACCAGCGGGAAGGTAAACGGCGTTCCGTGTGCAGCTCTGGCTCTCCAGATGCAGCTTGTCACGCTGGCCACATGACCCGGAAGTGTCTCCGGACAGCGCTGGCCCCCGGCCTCTTGAGTGAGATGGGCACACAACCCCAGAGTCTGTCAAGACTGGCCCGTACGGGCAGGGGTACCTTTACCTTTACCTAACCCGTGGATTTGCGCCCCCTAACCCGTGGATTTGCCCTAACCCCAGATGTTGCGCCCAGTGCGGCCGGCCCCCCCTGCAACCCCCACGCTACGCCACTGGATAGCAGTCTTGTGGTCAGAAGTGAATTTTGCCACATAAAGCAGTCTATCCACACATGCTATCCTGAGACATTACTTAGAAAATCTGGAAATAAGCATAATATTAAAACATGGGAATTTTTTTTCTTCCCTTTCAAAATTTCCACATTTTTTAAATAAGTGAAACTTTAGGCAAGATTTCTTTTTTTAACTACTCTTTAATTTAAAAAAGCATTAAGTTCTTGATTTGTCATCCAACAATTTGGTCATTTCATATTCCAAAAGCATGTACATCTTCTGTCCTACTTTTTATATTTAGGTTATAAAACACATATTTTGATATACAAGCCTCTGAGCTAGTAACAATCACACACAATTTTTGTGAAGTCAATAATGGTGACGCATGCGAAGGAGTTCATTTCGAAGTAGAGGGAGCTAGTAAGTATTGTCCTGATTCAAAACAAGAACAACTCAAATACCCTGCCCATCATTTATGGACACAGCGAGAACTGTAATCAAGTCATGTCAATGGAAATATGTTCCATTTTGCTAAAGTCAAATGCGTGCCAGCTGACTTTATTGAGCAAGAAACAATGAATTATTATTGTTTATTAAATTTATATATTGCCCTTCATTTAAAGATCACAGGCTCTTGTATTAATCTACAAAGCCCTGAACAACTTAGGTCCAGGGTACCTCAGGGATCGCCTGAACCCTTATATCCCAGCTTGATCACTGAGATCATCTGATCGTTTCCCCAAGTTGGTGAGGCTCATTTGACAACAATCAGAAACTGAGCCTTTAGTGTCATTGGCTCACTCCTGTGGAATACAACGGGTGCTGCTGCAGTCTAAACCACTGAGCCTCTTGGGCTTGCTGATCAGAAGGTCAATGGTTCGAATCCCCGCAACGGGGTGAGCTTCCGTTGCTCTGCCCAGCTCCTGCCAACCTAGCAGTTCGAAAGAATGCCAGTGCAAGTAGATAAATAGGTACCACTCCAGCGGGAAGATAAATGCCGTTTCCGTGCACTGCTCTGGTTCGCCAGAAGCAGCTTAGTCATGCTGGCCACATGACCCAGAAAGCTGTCTGTGGACAAACACCGGCTCCCTTGGCCTGAAAGCGAGATGAGAGCCGCAACTCCATAGTTGCCTTTGACTGGACTTAACCGTCCAGGGGTCCTTTACCTTTACACATCTGATTACTGATCTTTGTTTTTAACTTTGTTGTTTTAAAATTGTTATGCCCGAGCTTTCCAAACTGTGTGTCACTACATGTTAGTGTGTTGGCTGCAGTGTGTAGGTATGTTGTGTAAATGCTCTCCACACTCTTCCTAAGGCTGGAAATGGGCTAGTTTAACCTCCGGTTTGCTGGTAAAACTGAATTACAGTTTCATGAAATGATGCATGTCTAAAAAGGGTGTCACCAACATGAAAAGTTTGGAAAGCCCTGTGTTATGCTTTTATTGTATGGCTTTATGTTATTTTTACTGTTGTAAACCGCTTTGATACACTGCTGTGATAGAGCCGTACATAAATAAATAAATACCGTATTTTTTGCACCATAACACTCACTTTTTTCCTCCTAAAAAGTAAGGGGAAATGTCTGTGCGTGTTATGGAGGGAATGCCTACGGGTGGCATGCCTACGGATTTCCTCCTCTAAAAACTACATGCGTGTTATGGTCGGGTGCGTGTTATAGAGCGAAAAATACGGTAAGTTGATTGTGCTCCCATATTTCCTATATTTCAAATGCACAGAGAATTGCTGTCATAGTTTGGAAGGAATAAGTGTTGCAAGTGTTGTGAATATGAACTAAATAGCCTACAATGGAGGTTCATTTGCCTGAGTTTTTGACGTGAACATCTGTTGTGACCTTTTCATTCACCCGAAAACGGAACTTTTGCTTAGGAAAACAGATCTTCTCTTAGCCATACAAGAATTTGGGGGCTGTTCTCTCACTGCTATACTAGAAAGCTGCTCTCTCAATGCATAGCGCCCTAGCTTCAAATATATTTGTCCATCTGTTAGGATGAGTACTGATGCCTGCTCAAGCTAACTTAAGATTTGTGCCAGGAAAAATAAGTTATGATGGACCACATGCAAGGCACTGCAAGTAAAAATGCTCTGCAAGAAGTAGCTCCCTTTCTTGTGCCAATACTGGGGTTGGCACACATCCCTCCCCCCCCCTTTTGATGCAGTTGACATGCAACTGACTTGAAAGGCAGGACAACGGAGAAAATGATACAAATCCCCCATTTTTCTAAGACGACGTATTGTACTGCAAGCGGTTAGGGTGACCTTGTGAAACACAACTGGCATATGAAACATATGCATCATGAAATGAACTTTCAGGGCTACATTAAAGAAACAAAAACAGGCCTGATATTAATGAATTAAAGTGAGTTGAGCTGAATCATAACGGAGTGAGTCCAACAGAGTTGGCGAGCACATGAAGTATCTTGTGAAGCAACGAAAACTTATACTTTGCCAGTGAGGTAAAAGTGAAAAAAAGAGAGCAGAAGACAGGAAGTTCCATCTGTCTCCTAACCAAAGTCAGCCTATGGATGGAAATGGTTCAGCAAAACTGGCTGCAACCATCTGGTGTTCCAGGTGGCCAGATTTGTTTAACGAAAGTCCAAAACACAGGTATGCCTGGGGTACGAAAAGGATGCATAAAAGAACAATTCTAATTTTAGTCAGTTTCCACTCCAGAAAATACAGGCATGTAGCTATCATACGAATCAATTTTATTTTCTTTACAAATGCACATACAACAATGGGTAGGTTTCTCTCTAACCAGGCCTTTGGCTAATTAACATTTTGTGGCCTTTTAAATGAGTTTTTGTTTTATTATGCATTTTGTGTTCTTATTTTGTATTTTTATGTTGTGAACCAGCCTCTGACCTTTGGATGAAGGGCATTTATTTATTTGTTTGTTTGTTTGTGCCTTCGGATCCTCTACTCCATATTTCAGAGAGATCAGATTGGATTTTACAATTCAAATCTCTTAGAAAATTAGAACACCCCTACAAACCATCATGCTCCTCTAAAAATCCTGTGAAACCAGCCCAGAAAATAGCTGATAATGCTTTGAGAACTAATTAGTGCAGTAACTCTGAAGCTAATCAGAATCATAAAACAGTGCCTGACACATGTATCCAATCAATTGTTGAACACAGAAAAAAAAGACAAAACAGAGAATATGTGTTTCATGAGAACCCTGCTTGTGCAGCCTTTAAGCAGTCCCGAAAACATTTTTTCTTAATCCCACCAAGTTTTCTATTGATTTCATTGCTGGCCCTCTATATATGATTTTATCTGGTGCTGCTTTTATTATGTGTTTGTTCAGTTCTTTAGTTTAAACATTTATATTGTAAACTGCATTGTAAGAGCATGTCTTTATTAGAAATAAAATAAATGCAGAATACTGTTTTTCATCAGTGGCACCAATTAGATTCCATGGCTTTATTTGCAGGATGTAGCAAAGCTCTTCATTGTGAGACAAAGGCTTACATAATCATGCCCAATGCGTGGAAATGCTGCCTTGTGAACGTGCATAATGCATGAGGTTGTGACATTACTGTCAAGTCATGCAAAATTAAAATGTGATTTTCTACATCTCCTGTGAGTTTCTGCATCTCCTGCAAATACATCCAGCAATCAGGCAAAGTTGCAATAAAGTTAAATAGTTCTACAGCCAGGGCCTTCAGTTCCTTCAGCTTCTAAACAAAACTTGTGAATGATTTGTATAGCTAGAACCAGCTAGCTTGTAATATGCAGTCTTGCTTCCCAGCAGCATGGGCAACGTGATGAATAATACGAACAAAACAATGTCCCTCTTCCATGGTGAAGAAATATTTCCATTTCCCTATTCTACTTTAAAGCTTCAGAAAGCAACATGACAAGGTGTCATCTGACTAAGAATTTGAAATCAGGAAACAAACTAGTGATTCAAAAAGAGGGAAGGGTTCTTCTTAATAACAACAACACACATTAGTGCAAAGGTGGTTGAACAAGATGTAGCTGCAGTTTGTCATTCTATAAATGTTGATCTTTTAAAATAGCTTCATTAGAAAGAACAGAATTCAGTGTTGTTGTTTTAAAGAACATAATAACAGTCATGTGGAATGGCCCATCCGGCATCCTGTTCTCACAGTGGCCGACCAGATGCCTGCGAGAAACCTGCAAGCAAGGACCTAAGCACAAGAGCACTCTGCCCTCCTGCAATCTCCAGACACTGGTATTCAGAAGCACTCCTGCCTCCATGGAGCCAGAGCATAGCTACACCACCATGACTCCACAAATCTGTCTAATCCTCTTTGAAAGCCATCCAAGTTAGTGGCCATCATTGCCTCCCGTGGGAGTAAGAACCATACCCATGTGTTGCTTCAAGTACTTTCTTTTATCTCTCCTGAATCTTTCAGCATTCAGCTTGAGTTCTAGTGTTAACGAGGAGAAAAACTTTTCTCTATCCATTTTTCCCGTGCCATGTATAATTTTATAAACTTCTATCATATCACCTCTTACTCTAAGCTCAAATGCTGCGACCTTTCCTCATAGGGGAGTTGCTCCATTCCACTGATCATTTTAGTTGCCATTTTCTGGACCTTCTCCTACTCTTTTGGAGCGCCTCTCTCTTATTTAGACTGCTATAGTTTCAGTGATCATGTATAAGAGTGCAAGTTTGATTACCCAATGCATTGGGTTGTTTTCCCCCTTACATTTCTGTTTTACCTTATTTTTAACATCATCTGTTATGATGCTGTACTGCTATGAGTAAAAGAAAAACTAACTGAAATATAATAGTAGAAACTGAAAATAGGTTAAAGGGCCAAAAACATATTAGAAACAACTAAATGATGCTTTCCATTCTTTACTACACACTGGCACACTTAGGGCTTCTAAAAATAACAATACAGTAATACAGAAGCCATTATTGCACACAGTATTTGAATTTAATAAATTGTGGAATTTTCTGCTTTACACATTACTGCTGTATGAATTAAGAATAGAAATAACAGAGAAATGTATAGGTTCTGTCCTTGTTTAAGAAGATGAGGAATTGTTGGAATGAGGGCAGTCCTTCAGAGTGCTCCAAGATTCTATCTTCTCCATCCAGCGTCACTGTTTAACACCCTCATGGAACTGCTGGGAGAAGCTGTCCAAAGACTTAAGATTAATGCCATCAGAGTGCAAATAGCTCTTGGCTCTATTTCTTCTTTTCACCACAGTGAGAAGTAGAAAAAACTTTGAATTAATGTCTAGCATGGGTGATTAACTAGATGAGAGTGAATGTACCAAAACTCAATCCAGACAGGACAGAGATATGGGTGGTGGGAGGTTTGATTAATCCGGGAGTTTGGGGCTCTGGGGCTCACCTTTTGAGGCAGGTTTTATAAACTCATGAAGTTCTTCTCCGAAACTGGTCGGGGAGAACTCTGCCAGCATCTCTATCTGTGCCTGCTCCTACAGGGTGATTACTGACCTCTATGAGGCATTTCTTGGTATTTCTAAAACATGACAAAATGCTTTATGTGTGGATACCTTTGAAAAAACTGTGCTTTCTGTGATGCGCGTGTGTTCAAACCTGTGGTTGATTTTCTTGTTTTTAACTGTTGTTTTTAATACTGTGTTGCAAGCTACACAAAGTGGTCCTTCGAGGGATGTTTAATAGGCTATAAAGAATAAACAACACAGAGAGAAAGATGAAATTGTGTATAGTCAGAACAACCCAGGAATCCCCACAGCCAGTGCACCAAGTGGGCCTTGTCCCCCATGCAAGGTGGAGCAACCTTTAAGCTCTCTGCGTTGTTTACTGGGCTCTGGGAGGCTCCCACAAGATCTCGCAGGAGCCTCCTAGAGTCCACATGAGACTTTGTGCAAGTTAAATGTGTGCAAGTTGCTAGTCGACTGTATACTATGAGCTATGTGGGGGCTACATGTCTCAAACTGGAAGTTAATTACTTTGCACGGTACTTACAACTCCAATAGGGAAAGCTAAGACAGCCATCATCCAATCACGGAGGGAAATGAGTTTTCTTAGTTGTCTTTCTTGTTCTTGGCTGTCATTTCCTTTAGTAAGGAGGCTGGAAAGGTCTGTCAATACGCAGATCCCGAAAAAGACCGCTTGAATAACCTGCATTAAAAAATTAAAGATATATTAGAGTGCCAATATACACCATCTCTGCTGTAAATAAGACCAATGCAGTTGTTTTTACAGTAGTGATTTTGTTAAGCCATTTTCTAAGATATACATCGAAAATACCAGAGGTTACCCTTGTGTGAGGAATCTTCTCACATAGGAAGCCAAGCAGAAAGAAAGCCACAAGGAAAGGGTGTGTGGCACTAATCAGGCACATCAGAAAAACCACTAACATGGAAATGAGGAAACAGAAAAGAGGCCATCACAAAGGAATTTTAGAACGTGATGCAGACAGTTAAAAGGGGTGTGTGAGAGAGAATTCAAGACAGAATCAGGGCTGGTAGATGAACATGACTATCCTGTTTGCAAAAGGTCTCAAGGGTGTCAGGGCTTGTGGTCTAGAGCACCACCAGTGCTAAATTCTTCAGAATGAGCCAGTTAGCAGCATTATAAGACCTGGTAGGACTCTGTTGGTCTCGTGTCACCAAACCTCTATAAAAGTCGCTACTTCAAAGTCCCAAGTGTTTCCCAGCTCCTCAACCCTATTCATAGCCAGATGAAATTTGAATAAAAGAGAATGGGTGGCAGTTATCGTCACCCTTCCCTGTCAACACCTGAAACCCTTAAGAAATGGCGCTGCTCAAGTCTGTCCCACATAATTTGTTATGATTAACACTTTATCCTAGATTATATTATGAAGTTGAGCCTTTGATAGCCTGATCAGAATTCAGCAAGAATTCAAAGAATCTGCTAACATGCTTAGGACATAAAAGTTTTTTGGCTGCTTTTCCCAAAATGTGTGGGCTGAAGACAAGACAGTAATCTCATCCTGGTGAGGGTCTGGAATATTAGAGATTTACAGCCAACTGATGTGAGGTACTAATAATGCTAACAATTGTATTGCCAGATTTTCTTGACTGGCTTTCCAATATAGGATGGACATGGATCCAGCTTCCAACACCTTGCCCATTTTTATCTGCAGAAATGAAATCCTATGCTTCCTGTAATCTAACCCAGTAATTGAGATAGCAGGTCCCCAATCATATAAACATGTGTTCTTGTCTAAAAATGGTTGAAAGCAGCCCTGTATCGGGAAGTTTTAAATGTTTAACGTTTTACTATGTTTTACTATGTACTGTAGGGACGCGGGTGGCGCTGTGGGTAAAAGCCTCAGCGCCTAGGGCTTGCCGATCGAAAGGTCGGCGGTTCGAATCCCCGCGGCGGGGTGCGCTCCCGTTGCTCGGTCCCAGCGCCTGCCAACCTAGCAGTTCGAAAGCACCCCCGGGTGCAAGTAGATAAATAGGGACCGCTTACTGGCGGGAAGGTAAACGGCGTTTCCGTGTGCTGCGCTGTCTTGCCAGATGCTGCTTCGTCACGCTGGCCACGTGACCCAGAAGTGTCTCCGGACAGCGCTGGCCCCCGGCGTCTTAAGTGAGATGGGCGCACAACCCTAGAGTCTGTCAAGACTGGCCCGTACGGGCAGGGGTACCTTTACCTTTTTACTATGTACTGTAAACTGCCTAGAGTGGCTGGGGAAACCCAGGCAGAGGGATGGGGTATAAATAATAAAAATATTTTCTGTGTATCTGAAGAAGTTTGCATGCACATGAAAGCTTATACCAAGAACAAACTTAGTTGGTTTCTAAGGTGCTACTGGACAATTTTTATATATAATAGATAGATAGATATATATAGATATAGATATAGATATAGATATATATATATGATATATAGATGATATAGATATAGATATAGATATAGATATAGATATAGATATAGATATAGATATAGATATAGATATAGATATAATATTACTGCTATTATTAAATGTATTACAGCAAGCTGTAATGCAGCATTTCTTCTGCATGCAAGCTGGCTTTCAAACTGATTCTTTCCAGTACTACCTGCTTAGAATTATATTCCTGTGCCTGACCACTGGCCTTCAGAAGCAGAGCAATGTGAAGGACAGCAACACAATTTGCAGGACAACCCTAAAATAAACAACACCTTGCTGCAATGATGATGAAGACCATCTCAAAGATGTGACCACGTTAAGAGACCAATACTTTTCTAGGAATAATCAAGGATAGCTACATTACTAAAAACTATTAATTGATTAAGCCTCACACTAAATGGCTGCCTACATTCTCTCCACCTGTGAACAGGAATCAAAGGCGCCAGTCCTAGGCCTCCTTTCCTAGGAGTAGATTCCACTGAACCAAATAGGACTTATGGCACAATCCTAACTATGTCTTCTCAGAAGCAAGTCTACTAAGATGTAAAATCTTGTGCACTTCTGAAAGCCAACAATCACTTTTCTGCATAGAACAGACCACAGAAATCCTCATGAAGATGAATAGGTAAGATACTTTAGAACACAAATTTGTTTCTAATTTGAATTATTGCTAAACACAATCTCATGGATATGGGAATAAGAAAATGTAGGCATATCCCAAGGAAATACTTATTAGCTATGAAATCAATGACAACATAGAACCGGCTCCTGAAGGCAATGGTGGAAAGCATCTTGACATCCCTTTTAATGTTAAGTGGGACAAGGCATTCCATAATGTGTGTTGGGGGACAATACTGCATTGGCAACATTTTGAGATATGACGTAATGTGCTTTTTATTTTTGTAACTGACATTTCCCCCCCAAGCTATAAGAAAAGAACTGTTTCAAATAACAGCTTCAAAGAAAATCACACACCCATTCTCTTAGGGGATATAAGTTGTACATTTCCTAATCAATCATAAACTAAGCCTGTCTCCATCAGCAGTGGTGTTATAAAAAGGTCACAGAGGGGAGCCAGCCACCCATGCCTCCATTCAGCTAAGCTGAGTATGTTGACCACTTCACTACTCATGTCCCCAAATGCATGCAGCAAAGTGGACAGGACATGGATGGAGATATGTATCCCTGTAGCATTTCAATAGTGAGACACAATTATAAGAGACACATCTGATGAGCCATTTGGGGGGAATCTTTGTCAAACATCACAGCGTCACATGTCCTTAAGACTACGAATCACCAGCCATTTCCAAATCACTTCCTCACATGTGGGTTAAGAAAGCCATAAGAACAACATGGAAGACACCTCTAGGGTGTCAGTGGATGCATACTTCAGTCCTATAGACAGCTGCATGAAGTAGCATAGGCATAATTACAAATGTGAAGACTGCCCAAATATCTGAAAGACAGCCTCCTTCCCTATAGAGCCTGTTGAAGTGTAAGGATCTGCAAAGGGGGTCCTCCTTGCTAGTTTCTCCACCCTATAGGCTCATAGGGTGTGTGTGTGACCTGGAAGAGGGCATTCTTTGTGGAGTTCCTAGGTTGTGGAATTCCCTCCCCATGGAACCGTGACTGGCATCTTCATCATGCTGTTCCCATAGTATGCTGAAGGTGCATCTCTTTGCCCTGGCCTTTGACATCTATAGGACCCACCCTATTCTTGTGCCTCTCTCAAACTGTTTTTAATACTGTCTTCAAAATTGTTGTAACCCACCCTGGAACCTTACGGTGAATAAGGTACAGTAATGTGGTGAATATGTAATAAAATTAAATACTGATGTTGCTATGGATAACAGCAACAATAGCAACAACATAATTTTTCTATCACACCTTTTACTTGCTAAAGTTTGTTTGAAATGACTATCAAGCTTCCCCCAATCTGGTGCCCTCCAGATAGTTTGGACTACAACTTCTGTCATTCTTGATCATTGTCCATTCTGGCTGGTACTGATGGGAGTCCAACTACTTCTGGAGGGTACCAGGTTAGGGAAAACTGACCCTTGAACAATCAGATGTCTTCCTCTTAGGTTTGCAGAAATATGGCTCCGAGGTAGACAAGACAGGGAAATGTGCACAATTCCCTCTTCATAGAAGGATTATGTGCACATTCTCTACAAGGCCTGGTGAATGTGCACAATGGCTGGTGGTTACACACATTAACCGCACAATTTATATTCCTCATAATATAATCATAGAATGGGGTTGAATGTGTGTAAAACAAACAAAGATTCAGGTGAATTCCTCAACGTTCTAGTCAGAGCAGACCCTTTTAATTAATAGATATAGATGGATGACTATAATTAAACAACCATGATGGTATATAGCTACCTGATCCAGATCTTTAGGCATTCTGGAGATCATTAATACCCAGAAACATTTCTCCCAGAAGGATGATTTGAATGGAAGGATATACTATCAACTCAAAAAGGCAGCAGCTGGAAATGGTAGCAAAAGCATTTAGATCTTTCAGCACGCAAAACAAATTGCTTGAAAACCTGCCAGGTCACATAACCTTCACCTTGCAAGTCTGCCAGATCCACAAGTGTGTTTTTCCTTTGAAGCAGGCAGAATATGATTTATTTCCCTAGATTATCTGTTATGACTTTTCCTGTCACCTCTGTGTACTTCTTGTAGTCATTTGTCAATCCTCTGGCATGGTGTAGTGAGGTGAACACACATTAAGCTTAAGCAGAAAATGTGGTTGAAGATACTATCAAATAAGGAAGCATTAAGTCAGACGACTTATCTCTTTTACTACTGGAAGTGTGATTGACTGGGCCACTGTCCTTGAGATGAAACCAGTTAGTTCTTCAGCAGGTTTATTTCCATCTCGCTGTTTATAAGTTTAGACTGGCATTAAATGGACAACAGTCACCTAATCCTATAGAATCCAGTGTATTAAGTTCAGATAAATCACGGGGGACTATGACATGGTTCTGACACTAAGCTGTTCAATGTTTATATATCTATGCCAGGTGAAAGCTTCTTTCCCTTCTCATTTGCTTCAGGTCACCAATGGGTTGTTCTAGTCCCCAGCAAGCAATGTTTCCCACCATGCACATTAATCAGTGGGGTGGAGGTGCTCACCTGACCTCCAGCTGTCCACATCCCTGCTACATCCCAGGACAGAGAGGGTGAGGAGTGAACTGGTGTTGATGCTGGCAGAGCAGATGCGCTAGACTGGCTCCGGCAATGTGTTTGC